AATGTCCACGGATTTCCCTCTGCTTAGCGGAACCTCATGAACCAACCCTCGACCCGAACGTGCAAGACATTAATATTTCAGGTGTGGATCATAAAATAGAGCATCTTGCACTCATGCTAATTATAAAACAGTAGACGTACGTCAAATTCCGGATGCAAGAAATTGAATTGTAGTAGAATATTTATGTATCTATTGCAGAGCTTGCAAACATATGTGAAATAAAAATTCAATTTATTATGGCTGAATTAAGATGATATGCTACTCTTTTGTGACAGGGGAAAATTCTAATAAAAACAAATATTTATTAAAAAATTATCGATCAACGTGTTTTGTAATATTTTGTAGTAAACAATTTTTCTCAAACATGTCAAAAAATAAATATTAAAATTATACGGAATGTTACAGAATCGACACTATTTATCAATTTTTACACCATGAGGAAGCGTAAAAACCGTAATTTTTAACCAAAACCACAGCGATATTCAATAGTATAAATCAACCTTAATTGAAATTTGGTGGTTCAAACCACAACAAAAAATGTTTTGTTGGGTTCCGCCCTCAAAAAACGAGTTACGAACAAAATAGTTTTCGCCTAAAAAATGCCGTTAATTATTATTTTGTATCATAAATTATAATTACGGGAAGGTTTGAAACATGGATTTTAAACGGATATTAACAAAATTAAGATACATTATAGGAGAGAAATTCAATCACTTCTTTACTCCACAATAAATAATTATTTATCAAAAAAATCCAGATATATTTTTTTAATCTCAACAAATTGCAAAACAACTCCAGATAGCGAGCAAGAATAGAAGCAAAAATAGAAATCAAAATTCATAAAATTGCACGATGTACAATATTATATTTAAGAATGCGCTGAACGTCTGGCACGAAACGCTACATTATACTGCACTATCGTATTATGCCAACCTCTTGCCAAAAACAACAATTTACTGTAAACTAATGTTATCAGGCGTCTACAGGTGTAAAACTGATACTGAAAATCCAAGTGTCAAATACCCAAAATTTATCTTTGTTACATCACGCTTTAAAGCACCGCAGGCTGTATCACAATTAGCCCAACTATTTATGCTCTTTAAAATTAGAAACCAAATCCTTTTTTCAATTTTCTTTCCTATCCAAACCTAATACATTTTCACTTGAAAATGTCAAGAACAAAATTAACCAATCAGACGACGTGTTTTCTAACAACTGAAAACTCTTAACTTTCTTCTTGAGAGAGAAATGGAGTGAAAACGGTGATCACTTTCTAATCTCAGTGTTCCCCCATGTTACTTAATAGTAACTATGATCTCGATAGTATGGAAAGTTAAAAAATGTCATAAAGTGAACAGGGTGTTCCCTATCGGCCTTTAATAAAATTGTTACTGAATAAAACAAAAGTGCGCACAACGCCACGCGGCAGTTTTGAAGTACCATTTTGATCTTCAGAAAACACTTTCACCGTGGAAAGCAAAGGCTGAACAATAGTAATGAGTTTTTAAAGAAAAACAATTTCATATCCAATATGTAATATATATCTCAGTTGCAAAGTTACGTCATCGGTAGGTACGAAGAGTGCATCAACTTCCATGATTATTGAGCAACACATTCACACGTGATAACTGTACGTCAGTGAAAGAGCAAATGCAAAATAAAATCAAACACATATCGCAAAGGCCATATAAGAAAGAGGTTGAAATTTCGTCTCATGCTTTTTCATTGATAAGTAAGTACCTACTACTCTCTTTTAGTAATTATACAATTTTATTCCGCTGGTAGCTAGGCAATGACGATGAAAAACTGAGATTATTGACATACGACGCTGATATTGTAGCGACCACGAAGTTAAGAAAAAGCATAACAGACTAATATACTCATAAAACTCCCTAGAATTTTTACACTCCGGTTGACATATTCGCAAAATCATAGATTAAAGGAAAACTTGCCTACATTATGAAATTTGATATTCGTTGTGATATTCGAAATTTCAATCCAACATGCCAACATCTACTTTAGTTAGTTAAAAAGTCAACCACACACGACGAGTAACAATGAAGAAAATGTCACAACCGCGCAACAATTTATTATTCCGTGTGTTGTCAAAAATAAAACAGAATTGATCCGACAGAATAAATGCCAACAATTTACGTAGCATTAGCTGCAACGTTGTCGCATTATTTGATACAATTACCCATATTTTCGTTTTAAAGGTGTAACATAATATCTTTAGTACACCGTGAAAAATTTGTGCACCGCACTAACATTTTTAATCTAATTCTAATCTATATGTTTTTGGCAACAATACCGGACAAATTTATTTAATATTGAACGCGACACCTAAAAACTTTGGGGTACTAATTTTAGAGTTACTAAACTCAGAATATTATAGAATTTAAAAAAGTTTGAAAATTTTGATATGTGAATATAAATAAAAATTATCTAATTTTGCAAACAAATCGTAATTTATTTCAAACTTCTCAAGCTTGGGTTAGGAACATATAGTTTTACATACAAACAAAAATCTGAATAGAATTACTTGTCATCCGGATCGTTTCTAAAAACTGAAAAGTTTTACCAACCGTCGTCTTTTGAAACACAACAACATAAGAACAAAATATTGAAGCAAGTTAAAATGTTAAATAAATTTAACGTCATTAAATTGGATTCACCGATTGGCTATATGTACATAAAGATATAAGCTGCTAGCACTTTAAACACTACACACTTCAAAATGTTATTAATAATAATACTAATTAAATTAATTTATTTAATTCTCTTTTGAATAAAACTGAATCAGACGCTAGTAATACGTAATCTATACAGTGTGTAGCAATTACGTGGTTGTTTTATTAAACTTGATTTTCACGGTCATGGATTTGTATTTATTACCCACGCGGTTTAATTCGATTAAAGACACATTAAATACTTCACACAGAATATTATGAAAAATATTATAATATTGTTTTAGAAGAATAGAATGTGTATTATAGTGTGCCCCCTCTTGTGAAAAGTATTTTCACGAGTCGAAATATATTAATTTTCAAATCAAATCGTTTTAAAACCTTCATGGAACATGACTATTATATACTGGAAGTGTATGGGTAATGAGTAAAATGCGTACAAGTATGTTTTATTTTATTTTGAGGGATAAGACGCCTCTACAAAAAGACGTTTACAAACATTCGAAAGAAGCGCACATGGTAAGATGCAGTTAAATTCATTAACCATTAGCTTGCTACTTATCAATTGATATAAACATCGCAAAACAAATAAAACTTTATAGTATATTCGGGCTATTTCGGGATGTTGATATTCACCTAGCTAATACGTATTGTGGTATTTTACAAATGCGTGCTCATAGTTATATAGACGTTTGTTTTTTGTTTATAATACTATCCTATGTATTGTTAAATCGAACAACATTGAACGTTTAGATTTGTATTCGTTAGTCGTTTGGTAGAAGACTACCATCAAAATGGACACCACAAGATGGTGCAACGGAGCAGGTTAGTGATAGCATAAAACGGGCTGGTGAATTTATATTCGTATGACAATAGTCTTTATTGCCCCCATGCGTTTATATATAAACAAGAGAACAAGCCAACACGAAATTTTTTCACCATTCTGTACCAGGGTAACGGTACCCGGACTGTCCCAGATTTTACAGTTTCTGTGACGATTATCCCAGTTTCTATGTGAATTGAAATGCCAAATGATCCGAGTCACAACTTACGATACCGTAAACCCCTTATTTCAATTTTGTTGACGTCACCACACAAAAAGTCAAAATGAAAAATGAATCACATACACCAGAAAACAATTTTGAAAGAAATGAAAGTGATGGCCTTCTAATACAATCTTCAACCACTGGAACACGGAAGAGGAACCGCCACAAGGTGCGCAATTTTGAAGACGCCATAACACAAAAAAAAACGAATCCCGTAGAGCCCACAGAAATTTTCTAAAGAAATAAAAGAAATAGCATTCCAGAGAAAAAATACAGTCTTTAACCACTTCGAAGCAATTGGTCCAGTAGTTATTGAGAAAGACAAATTTTTTATAACAATGAGAAAAACAAGAGAGCTATGCTCAAATACATGGACACGTTTACCGATTTCAAGAAAAGCACCAACATTTAAAGACATCAGGTATAACAGTGGCTGCAAGCCCCGCTTTTACGAGACAGTTAGTTCAGTGTCACCGCGCTGTGTTACGGTACCGGAACTGCCCTATCTTTAGAAGTTCCTGTCTTGTGACAGCGTGAATTGAAATTGCAAGATGGTCCGACTCACACTGTAGTAACACCAACAATCCGAGTCACTACTGTAAAAAACACCAAGTACGGCACTATTCACCATTCCTCGAATCTTAGCAAAGCCAGGATTTCATTACGAACCACCGACGTTCGATGGCACGTGATCAAAAGAACATGAAAAGGAGTGCCAGCATATGCGTCCGCAGAATGTTCGGTGACGTCATAGCAAACAAATACAAATCTCACAAAGCTAACAGAAATATTTAAAATAAATAAAAGAAATAGCCATCTAGAAAAAAAATTCATCTTTTACCACTAAAAATTTCAGTAATCCGTCCAGTAATCAAAGAGAAAAGCGACTTATTAGGTTTTCCACTAGGTGTTCAAAACTGTCAAAGGACAACAACAACATAATATTGAAACGATCGGTATGTCCACTACGTGTCCAAAAACTGTACTCCCGTAGTGTGTGTACCAGGTTAAAGTTAGGCCATAATTTTATTCCGATTTCGTTATTTTAGTTTTATTACAAATTCGGGGACTGCCTGTGTTAGCCAAGTGAATATACCCCCTGCCCGTAAGTTTCAGTCCCTTTACATAACTTGATGTAAAGTAGGCGAACAAAATTAGTTACCTAGCAAAAAGATTCATATTTACATTTCGTGTCCATTAAACAAGCCAATCGAAATAACAGAGAAAACAATAATTGCTTAAAATAATAAAAAATAAAAAATCATACCAGTAACGACAAGTTTTGTCCAAGTTCCGTTAATGAATGGTGGATGACTCTCTGTGGTTTGGCTCCGTTCCAAGTTTTTTTTCTCATTTTCTTTATTGAGGAATATCACACGACATTCGTACCAACCTTCATCCGATATTTCAATTCGTTTTATGTTCAAATCTGCAGTACCGGGAGCTACTTTCATTCGCCCTAGTTTAAAAAGAATCATTGTAAAACCAAACGCAATTTTTTCTACTTTCCTTATAATAACAAGGGATCGTGAAATTGATAACATAGAGAAAAATATCTTTTTCATAAAACAGCATTTCACAAATCTTCATTGTTAAATGCAACATAAATATATGTTCCAAACACTTTGAAAACACACGAGATTTTCGAATTCGCCTAAAACAGGATGATAAGCAGTACATTTCAGTATGATTTATTGTATATTTTACTCAACGAATGCTTTGAGTTAAGCTTAAATTAAAGTCACTATATACAATAAAAGTAAAAATGTTTACTTATTATATGACACATTAATAAAACGATAACCTAAATGACGCCTGGCAGAACAAATGGGGATAGATTTTGACGAAATAAACATATATATAGTAGCACAGTATAACCAAGTTACGTTGAGAGTGATGCTCATGTCTAGGCCAGAAATGTGTACAGACTTCACGGACATTACATATGATACACACGACAAAAAAAAACAGCTAAAATGCAATTTGAAAACAAATACATAATCCATATATGCAGAGTTTTACAAACATTAACATCAAATTATAATACCTTTGGCCATTGCGTTTACCCGCTTGGCAAGACTCTCGTATGTTAATGCTTGTGTAAAAAAAAGATAAAATTGTCATATGAAATAAAAATATTTTAATCCGCGAGATGGCAGAACTGAGTATATTATAAAAGTTATATTTGGAAGACCACGATTTAAACTTTGTGGAACGCGAGAAGTCGCTCCAATCCCACACATACACTGTTTATTTCCATTTTTGAGTTTGCGAGTGACATACTTCGACTACATAATTATCTCCATTCGGGCCTGACAACGGGCGAAATAAGGATTCAGTTGTCAGTAAAAGAGTTAAAAATCACATATAATTATAGAAATCTTAATTTTAGTTGAACAGCACTTGTCCCCTTAGTTAAACTTTTCGGTGAACAAAAACTTGGATTTTATTGAAGGGCCTTTTACACCTTCGTTTATAACAAAATAACTAGTCCCCTAACTAAATCTTCATGTAAGGCAATAAAAGTTAAATAAAATTCTCATTTCAATGTAAGCCATTACATATAAAAAATATACCTCCAAAAGAAGGATCCATATGAGGCGGATATTTTCCTATTTTGATGTAAATCGGCAGTTGCTGTCCTTGTCTTAACCATTCGATAACACTGGGTGGTGGATCAGGATCGGGATGTTTATATTCACATGGCAAAGTAGCAGTAGTTCCTTCGTGAACGTTTATTACATTTGGAGGGGAACCTGAAAAAATGAAATAAAAATGTAAAATTTGATATTAACTGTACTCATAAGTTGTGAATTTCAATAATTACAAACGACCTCATTTTTTAATTTTGACCAGATACCACAAGAGGGACGCATCAGGATGTATCCTTAGATAACTGAAAGTACTCCAATAGAAGCTTTTATTCATTTATCAAATTTTTTCAAATATATTTCATCCATTTGGTCCAGCAGTTTTGAAGTAATGCGCCTGTATTGTTGCTTTTCGAGGCAACATCGTGTAATCCGGTGGTTCTGAAACTAGGGTTCACGGTGACATTTTCAGGGGTAATCAGTTGGCGATTGACTTTTTATGTATTTCTACTTTGAATATAGAGCACAACTCAAGCGCGTGTGTGTATGTTTAATACCGCTTCGAGAATTGTGAAAAATTATTTCCATAAAGCAAACAAAACGGTTGTGGTACTGGTCGTTTCGCACGCGACAGTACTCAACAGTCGTGTATAATTATAGTCAAGTTTATTATTAACGTGTTTATTATCAAGCAGTTTTATCACAGTAAAGATCGTTAAGTAGGCTCAGTATTTTAGTTCGAATCAACGCACTTTCCGAATATAAAATTTAAACTTGGCTAAAGTTTCAATCTTGTTCAAGTTTACAGAGTGAACAAAATTAAGGCATATCCATACGTCGGTGTCTCCAAAATGTCGTGTCCCACTTGTCCCACGTGTCCGGGACAATTGGGACACGACATTTTGGAGAAACCCTCCATACGTAACTATATGGAACAGACGCCATAGTTTGACGTGCACAGATATTGAATTTGGAGGCATAGGGAACATGTTTCAACATTTTATCAAACTTATCATATATTATTGAACTTGAGCTTGAAGCCAGCTCAAATTGGAAGCGGGCACAGTAATTTTGGGTCTACTAACTACTTAAACCTTTTATCAGGCCTATGGTTGAAATAACTCGTTCAAATAAAAAACATGAAACATGAGTTAATTTGGTCGTTTAAACTCGAGTTTCGCCCCAAAAACCCTTGCCGATTTCCATTAGTTGGTATATATATTGAAGAAGTAACATTTTTTCTCAAAGTACTTTTTTACATGAAATTCTATTTATGTACAATTCACCAGCTTGTGTCTGATTTTCAGGATGTTTTTGGAACGAACTGATTTAAGTTAGCGTCAATCGGTATGTACTAACGCTCAACCCTACACGACAATTGCAAATGTCTCAATATCTCATTGCCTTTTAGTGGTTGCCCAAAATTCGCTCAGAGACCAATCTCCTCAATTTTTCAGTGAGTTCGCGTTACCTTGCTTTTTCAAAAAATTTGATTCATTTTAAATTTTATTTCATGCCAAAAATGGTTTCAAATTTTGTTCTTAATTATTGATAAACACAAGAAATTATTCGCAAAACTCTTTTTCGGAGATTTATTTGCTGTCGTGTAGACCAAAGTTGATCGTTTATAATGCAATTGGCAACAGTATTTTGAACAAAAATAAAATTAGTAGAAAACATCTCGCTGTCCGATATGAAAATACCATAAACCATGAATGTATAATTATCTTTATTAGTTCGTCGTTGTTAAACCATATATCTTAAATGAAGCACATTTCATCTACGGTACACGTATGGCCTATGATACAAATTATGATCTACATCCAGGTTGATGTATGATTTATTTTACTCGGTAAATTATATTTCATCAAACGACTAATTATTTCTAGATTAGACAATTTTTAAATAGTAAAAATAAATGGACAATTAAATTAATATCGCTTGTTTCGGCATACATATGCATAGAATTATTTTTTAAAAATAGCGAATTTATAAAAGATCTGAAAATTGCAGATGGAATTATTTAATTATTATACACAGTTATGAATTTCTTGTTAAAAGCCTTATACGAAGCGAATAATAACAATTCGTAAGAGATCATTAAAATTGGTTTATGCAAATACAAAGTGCATATATATTACACAGATGAAGCAGGGAAAAAAGCTTTTTTGAATTTTGAGGATTAAAAAGAATTTTAAGAAATTTTCGGGGCCATGTTGCAACAAAATCAGAATGCTTAATCCTATTAACATGAACAATCTGAGTTTGACATTCATTCTGTCGTGAAAGGAGTTCAATCCCCAAATGGTATCCGAAAAAATCCGGAAAATATTTTTTAATGTGCTTTAATTAGTCCATAACTAAGCAAATTAAGGCTAAAATGTCGAATGACATACTGATATAAGATTTCCTCGTTTATAATTGTGAGACAGACGACTGTAGGACTTAAATTAAAATCAAACAATAACAGTAGACGACTATATATATAATAAATTTTAGTATATACTAAATTATACGTTCAAGATATTAGACTATGAAATTCAAGAGTAAACTTATTTCTGTAACGCTTCGTCTGACCAAAATCACACTTCCTCGGACAAGCAGTTTACAACAATGACAAGAAAAGGAACAATCATGGGGTTTCGTGCATACGGATCCACTAGCGCAAAAGCATTGAGGAAGGATTGGGATGTAGTCTCGCGCAACATCTACTGATAGTTATGATATTAGAAGTGTAAAAAATTAGAAAACGCATTAAATCTTCCAATTTATTTCAATTTTTAGAATTTGAAAACATATGTTTCAAAGTTTGTTTGTTCATCATAATTTTGTACCATGGCAAATCGCACGCATTTTGTTCAATTTCAAACAAAAATACCTTCAATGCCTTAGAATTAAAGATAAATGTAATACAATAAACAATTTAACGGTTTTCGTATGGTTCAGAAGAAACATATCATGAGAGGTAATTATTACGTAGCTATAGTCTCCGAGGGAGGGATGAAGTCGGTGATTTCTCCCATCGAGGGTAGGTATTATGTGTTTCTGGACAGACAAAAGCCCTTAAGGTTCCCTTAATCTTCAATTTGATCGGCGTGTGTAATGAGATTACGTTGAACGAGATGTATTTGAGCACAAATTAAGATTTTTATTGTTAAAAATTTATGAAATATCAGGCTAGATCTAAGATAAATTTAGTATAATTTGTATTTTAGGAAATTTTAACCACAAAAACAAAGAGTTGTTCTTTTGCGCATAATTTTGATGTTATTCTATAATTTGATTGTGGTGAATCTGTGTCTAGTTCAAAATAAATATCGTCATTTGAAAAATGTAGAATTACATTGGTGGACGTGGATGACAAATTACTTCAAAGTCACAAAGGCGATTTTGAACCCTTTTTTATTCGTGATAAAGAACATTAACCCATTGTGCATCTCAAATTAGAGATTCCGGTGTTAGGTACTCAGTGGCAAACCCAGAGTGTGGCAAAATTTTAAAAACTACTCTCGACTTCCATCTATGCCAGTGGTTCTTAAACTTTTCAAGCCGCGCCCCCTTTTTAGAATTTGAATTTAGAGGTCTCGCGTCTCACCTCGAAAATAACAGATAGTAAGGAAAAAGTTTCATTCAAAAAACACGTTGAAAATACGTGGACGGAACGTGAATATCCAAAATAAGGCGTGCAAGATCAAATCTTTTTATTTTTATTCAGCTTCACGTCCCCATAGTTTACATTGAACCGATAGAGCGCTATAAAACGTACCGGTAATAAAGAAGTTTTAAACTTGTATTTTTCTCAATTTTTGTATGTAGGGTGTTTCTGAAATTTGTTCATGAAATAACTGTTTATAGTTCGCTATATACTCAAAATATCAATATTGATTTTCCATCATATAGAGTCCATTATTCCTATGCTCGACAAGTCGGTAGAGATCGACTTCACTCAACGACCTTTTAATCCTGGAAATTTAATTCCGCAACAATGTCCAGTGAGCACAAAACAATGTTGCATGTACCGCATATGTCTGCAGTAACCTTGAATGAAATTTCAAAAGTTTTTAAAATATCAAATTGATAAATTTGCAAAATCCACATTTTTGACAAGTTTCATCCAATTGTTTTCGCATTGCATATTCGCAATAAGTTTTAGAGGTTGAGCCAGTATTTATGGGTTGGTACCTTACATAAATTGATTCTATGTTTGTGTATTCTTGAGTGAATACGTTCCATGAGCAATTTTAAACTTCGGGATATCTTTTGTAAAAGCCTACATCGACAAACGTTAAAACTAACAAACCTTGGTGATTGGAATTGGTCAATGTCCACTCAGTATTTATAGATTTTTTAAAGTTCCCATAAGCCTTTAAGTGAATTTACCATCGTCCGGCAGATATTGAATTTAAAATATTGTTAAACATCTACGACCGCACCATACTTGGTCAGTGGAAGCTCCGAAGATAAATCTTTACAGATATTACTTAAATTAAAATTTAACCCAAATAGATTGGAAATAAATTAAATATATAAAGTATAATGACTGATTGATGAAATGGAGCATTTTTAAAAATGAATAGCAAATTAACAGACAATTTCTTGCGAAAGATTTTTCTGCATCATTCGCTATTATTTCATCCATTTTTTTTTGCTGAAGATAAACAAATTTACAACATATTCGACATTTCAGAACGTATTCGTAATAATAATTTTATACAATTTTTTGGTATCCCTAATTTTTGATTTTTCGCGTTTTATTCATTTCTCAATATATCTATCTCCTGTATTATGTCGTCATCAAAATAGGAAGGATCAAAACATAACCGCTTCATTACACCTCATTGTCGGTAACTGGGCCAGCAAATTACGTATTTGTTAGCATCAGTCATTAAATTCAATCCTAACAACATTCGTATGTTTTGATAATTTAAACCCCTAATTTTAGTTTATTTTTGTGGTATTTTGACAACTAGGTCATATATTCTAAATTTTATTAAGTAAGTTAATATTATCGGTAGATTAAATTGGACGTGAATGAATAATATGAACAAAAATAGTCGTTTTTTACCACAAATATTACAAATTTTGAGTAAATTTGAAAGATGATTCAAGAAGTCTTTGAAATAAACAAAATTACAAAATGTACTCGATTTGTATGGTTCTAGACA